GCGGTGTATTGTCGTTTTGTTGACGATAGTTGGTCCTACTTTCAGTCTCGGAACGACGCGCAGGAGTTTCTTGAATTATTGAATAAGCTGCACCCGTCACTGAAGTTTACTTGTGAGTTTGAATCGGCTAGTAAATTGTCCTTCTTGGACGTTCTTGTAGAGAAGTCTGGTATGGGTGGTGTAATTACATCAGTGTACCGGAAACCAACGTTCACCGGCTTGTACATTGTTTGGGACTCGTTTACTCCGAGGTCGTACAAAATTAATCTCGTTCGTAATCTAGTGGATCGTGCTCGTCGATTATGTTCGCCTTCAAAGTTGGATGAGGAGCTGGAGCGGCTACGCACTTTGTTTCGTTTAAATGGGTACCCGGAATATGTGATATCTAAATATGTCGTAGTTAGTACACTGGTTGGAGCGAAGGAAGTGTCCTCCGAAGCCACTCCGGTGTATCTTCGTTTGCCTTGGAAGGGTGAAGCTGTTTCCCGTACCATGCAACGTCGAGTTAAGTCAGCTGTAGAATCGAATTTTCGTAATGTTAGTGTCCGGTTCGTCTACACAACAGCTCGTGCCTTCATGGTGAAGAAGGATGTCCTACCCACTCTTAAATTATGATTGATAATTTCGCGGTCCGGAGACCACGGAGGTCGACTGCAAATTATTCAACCTTAGTATATGCTAGAAATGGCCAAGGCCCACGTGGAGCATCGAAGGAGAACAGAAGCCAGAAGCTAAACGGAACACAATCTCGAGACAGGGATGAACTAAGGACAGTGGGACGGGACAGACGTAGGAAGGAGAACACAGATGGTACCAGACGACTGACTGGTGGTGAATATGAGTTGGGTGATGATGCGGCGGATGACGAAGATACAGATGATGACGAGGCGGGTGATGACGAGTCGGCGGATGACGACGAGGCGGATGACGATGAGACGGCTGGTGGTGATGGTGATAAAACGGACGAGGAGGAGTCAGGTGGCAGCGAAGGTGCTGGAGCTGATGAGGATGAGATTCGTAAGAAGTCAGCTGTGGACTTACATTAATTTTGTTATCTCTATATAACTAGCGGGAAACACCCATTCATTGCGAACACCAGCAATTACCAACTCCAACTAAAGTGTTACTTCCCGCCCTTGCGCCAAACCAGCACGTGCTAACTCTAGCCTGATCGCCCGTTTTCCGTTTTAGTGTAAACGGTTCAAAACGATTTTCCGTTCTCGTGTAAAAGATTTGAAAACGATTCGAGACCAGCCCGTTTTCGTTACGTTTCGTTTCGTTTCATTTTGTCTTTGTGTAAACGCAGCCTTCTTCCCGTAGCTATGAAAAAGATGGGGTACATGGACCGCACAGCATCATCAAAGACAGCTCGTCACCTTATTCAAATAGGGCTTTTTCCTGCAAATTCATAACGTGGTTGTCAAAACTTTGTTCTCACGGTACCCAGTGACCAATAAACGGTAATGGTGTGAGAGAGGAGGAAGAGTGATCATCGGAAAATTGGGTGAGCAGGGACTAGTGAATAGGTGTATGGGCAGGGTGGTCGCTACACGAGCATACGGAGTTTTGCAACAGCAGGGATATCTGGGATTTGAAGAGAGTGCCAGAAGGGATTTCGCGAAGCTGGGTGGACAATCAATTTTAAAAGTAATGAAGGACATTGTACAGGCAGAATGGAGACAGGGATCAGTCCTTTGTAGCTAGTCGAAGCAGGTTGCTGTTTGGAGCAGAAACTGAAATTGACTTTTTTCTGCATGTACTCATGCATGTACTCATGTACTCAGTCATGCAGTCTCACTCGTATTTTAGCTCTTTTTCTGGAATGGATGCTGCTCTGCGCCCCTTGGTGAACATTTCCCGCGCTCGTGGAGCAGCTGGAGAGGACCACTGGTATGTCTGGTTCCTGGTTTGAAAGTGGAGAGTCGACTTTTGTGTCTTGAAACAGGAGTAGCTTATTTTGAGTGCTCCTCGTACATTTTTGATCGTGATAGAAATTCTCAGACAAAAGTCAGCGCGATGATGATCGATCAGTTTTCTTGTGGATTTTTTAGTTGTTTCGTCTCGTATCTATGTCAGTATGGCGATGGTGAAGTGGACAGGGTGATTTTCTTCCTCTGGGCTTCGTTCGGCCGACTTTGCTTCGTCCTCGTTGAAAAGTGATGCTGAAAAAAGGTCGATTCGCAAAATTATGTTGATTTTGAATGTAAGTGATGACATGCGATTGCTGGCTATGATTGCAAAACAGTCGTGGGGATCAAGTACCCTCAATTCATCAAAAATATCGAGCTGTATACACGCACCAACTCCCAGCCCCTAGGGAAAACCATTGTGAGAGCGAGGTGGCGGTTCTTTGGCCATGTCCTGGGACTAGATGACGATGTACCAGCACGCTTTATGATGGCAGCATACTTCGAAAACCCAAGATCTGCAGCCACCTGGCGGGGCCGGCCACGTACCACTCTGCTACTGAGTCTGCACCAGGACCTGCAGCGTATGGGGGGTCACTCAAGAAACGTGAGCAACTTGAGAACCTCCATGCCATCGCCCAGTCACGACAAGACTGGAAAGACCTATGCAGCAATGTGATAAAAGCATACATCAAAGCCTAATACTGCTTCCACCTGTGGCAGCTGCATGGCTGTACGGTGTACTATAACATAACTCATTGACTAACATATTTTGTGAAAATATTATCCTGTAAAAGAATAGGAATGTAAACGATATACCTGTGAAAACATAACCTTTAATGCTATTAACACAACCTGTGACTACAATAATCATGAGAACAACCCCAAAACATTTCTTGCAGTTTACTTTCGTAGAGTTTGCAACATTGTGTACCTCAATACAACTTGCAGCTTTCTTCAAAAATATCCTCAAATTTGGTTCTGTCCTAGATTGTATATACATGCATTCATTGTTTCGTCTCATCATTAAGGAGCAGCTTATGCGAAGGCTAGCCAAGCTTGCTTGGCGATGCCAACGCGGAAAAGCCTATAATAATAATAATACTGCCAACAATTGACTGGAAGAACACACCCGCCGTGATCGACTGGTTCGAGGGGCCGGAGGAAAAGCAAAACTGTGTTTTTGTATGTTTTGATGTCGTGCAGTTCTACCCATCTATCTCGGAGGAACTACTATTAACGTCGTTGGAGTTTGCCAGAGGCTTCACGTCGGTGTCTTCGGAGGACCAGGAAACAATCCTCCATGCACGGAAGTCCCTGCTATTCGGCCTCGGGAAAGAGTGGATGAAGAAGGGAAGCGGAGTATTCGATGTGACGATGGGATGCTATGACGGTGCTAAAGTCTGTAAGTTGGTCGGTACGCTGGCCCTTGCCAAACTATCCGAGGTGTACATCGGCAGTGACATCGGACTCTACCGCAACGATGGGCTGGCAGTATTCCGGAACGTATCGGGACCAGAAGTGAACAGGATCAGAAAGCACATGACCAAAGTTTTCAACAGCCTAGGACTAAAAATTACCATCCAGAAAACCTGACATCAGTCGACTTCCTAGACATCACGCTGGACCTACGCACTGGCAAATACCGTCCATATCGGAAGCCCAATGACCGGCTACTGTATTTCCATCACAAATCCAACCTCCCCCCGATCATCATCCAGAATTTGACCTCTTCCATCAGCCGGTGACTAACAGACATATCAACGGATCAAGAGACATTCCAGGACGCATTTCAAATGTACAACAATGCGCTCAGAGACAGCGGGTACAATGAGACCGTCCAGTTCTCACAGGAACGGAAGAGTGGGAAAAGGAAGAGACAAAGGAAGAGACACCGGAATATCACATGGTTTAACCCACCGTTCAGTACGAATGTGTCCACAAACATTGGTCAGCGATTCCTGCAACTCGTCAGCAAGCACTTCCACAAAGGATGCAAATTATACAAGATATTTAACCGGAACATGCTAAAGCTCAGTTACAGCTGCAGGCCAAATGTCGCCACCATCATCAAGCAACACAACAATAGTATCCTCCGCAGCGACCACCAGAATAAGACCAAGGATGTGAGAACCTGCCACTGCCATGTCAAAAATGATTGCCCCTTGGAAGGAAACTGTCTAGCATCGAGCATTGTGTACAGGGCACATGTAACCGGCAGCGACATGAAGGAGTACACTGGATTAACGGAAGACACGATTCAATGGTCATCAACATACTTCGAAGTACTATTCGCCACAAGAAGCAAGAGACCTCAACGAGACTGTCCAGACCCATCTGGAGACTGAAGGATGAAAACAAACCTTACAGTATCAGGTGGTCCGTTGTGAGGAGAGCCGCCCCATACTCCAACATCTCGAAGCGCTGCAACCTGTGTCTGGCCGAGAAGCTAGAGATTGCCTGGGCCGACAAGACCCGCTCCCTCAACAAGAGGTCAGAGCTTGTGTCCAAGTGTCGTCATGAAAACAAGTTCAGTTCTACCTCTGTAACTTTGCCCGCGAGGTCAAGTGAATCTAGCTGGCAGTCCCGCTGCCTAGTGTGTATGTGTGTGTGTGTGTGTTAGTGTGTGCGTGTATGTGTGTATGTGTGTGGGTGTTACTATGTGTGTGCGTGTTAGTATGTGTGTGTGTGTGTTTGGGTGTGGTGTGTGAGCGAAATTAAGCGCGTACTTGTTAGTGCTAGACCTGAGCCTACTGCATCTGCCTCTGAAATAGCCTGTCCCTGTATACATTCACGCGATTACTCCTCTCGCTATCGTATTATCACACCTCTCTCCACTTAGCGCTGGCTCCTATTCTATTATCGTTGTCTGATAATTGGTTCATCCATGAAACTCTGAGTCACAACGGAATTAATTTGCCAAGGTTTTCATTGTGTGCCTTTGTGTCTATTGTATAAATAATAATAATCCCTAGTCATAACTCGTAACAGGTTGTCTTTCTCCTCTTAAACGCCAAATAAAGTAATAAAGTAATACAAAATTCTTCCAGGAAGTGATGTACATCCTATCAAAATTATACTTTGTTCTCCCAGAGATTTGAGAGACAATCGTCTTCTTCACCTACCTGCCGGACTGTTCAACGCCACAACCAAATTACAAAAGCTGTAAGTCATGTTGTGCATGTACCGTAAAAAAGCGTTTTTGGCGTAGTTCTGTTCTTTTGAGATGTGGCAAATGGGATTTCGGGATTTGGCATTTCGCTAATTGATCTCATGTACCCTCCCCCACCCTTTATGACCTGAATCTGACGCCGCTTGTGGAAGACTTTTCCAGGTAGAACTCCGTATTGGAAGCAAAGAGCTGAGCAAAGAGCTCGTTTTCACGAATGGAAGCCTCTTCATTCGTGGCACGCTCCGAATCCGTCAGGTACACATTTTTTTGCAAGGTACACATGTTTTGCCAGGTACACATTTTTTCCCGTTGGTTCCATGATCCATTCACGTGTGCGCGAACACACCCGTGCGCCAAGCTACCGGCCGTATTCGTAGTTGCCATGCACATTTGCTTCACGACTTGCGAAACCTGAATTCAGTTTTCAACGAAACGATTACGAGTAGGGGTGAAACGAACGAACGAAAGTTCGAACATTCGTTCGAAAAATTTGAAACGAACGAACGAAATCGCAAGATTGATAAACGAACACAGCAAGCAAGCATAAAGATCGCTTGTGACTAGATCACAAAGAAGCCGCGGAGGTTGGGAGATCGCGAGCTTGCACGCTGATCGACTGCGTCTGCCTTGATGATCACTTGAAGCAAGTTGAAGGAGTTGAGTGTAGCGTCGGGACAAAGTTTCTGGAATTATTTCACGGCTTTGTCTTCGTTTGAGGTAGATTTGTATTCGTAGTGAAAGGATTCGAGTCGCTTGCCTTGTGACATCTGTTCCTGAAAGCAAACGTTCACTCGTTGCAATCATGTCAAAACGTTCGAGCCTTTCATCGCGGTCCGGAGTTAGAGTGGAATTTGATAAAGTGGTCGGGAAAGACGAAGTCCTTTTCTCAATTTCAAAAAGGTTCTATCACACAGCAGAGCGACGACGAGCAATCTTCGTACCCACCTCAAGAAGTACCATTCTCCTGCTCTGACGACCTGAGCTAGCGATGAGAAAAAACTCTCGTCCGGACGATGGTGATGGACTTTGCAGCTAAGCTAGCTGCAAAACCCTGTGATTCAGCGCAGGCGGGCGCGATGAAAAATTATTGCTGTTCTGGCAGTGTACGTGTATCATGCGGTCACTGAGCATTCTCGCTTTCTCAGTGATTCTGGCCACTGGTTCTAGAGCTAGCTTACATGTAGATGTACATGCATGATCACAGTGTTTGTTTAGCATCACACCATCAATACTGAACTGTGGCCAGCCAAGTAGAGAGAACGCCTATACTGACAGACTGTCTTCAAAACAAATTCATCCATGAAATACATACCTGTAATGGAGAATGTTCGTTCGAGTTCGTTCGTTAGTGTGAGAGTTCGTTCGTATTCAAAATTCGATGTTCGTTTCACCCCTAATTACGAGACGAATCAAACTTTCGTTTCGCATTCGATTCGTAGCAAATGCGAAAGGTCCCTAATATGATACACCAGAGATTTAAGAGACAATAGTTACTTCTACATTGTGTTTTAGTTCCAAACCATAATTCAAGAGCGTCCTAAAAACGGTTTCTGAATTCTAACTACCAGTGGAAAGACCAGTCCTTTTCTCCAAGGACTAACAGCAAAGACCAGTCCTTTTCTCCAAGGACAAACAGCAAAAGGCCCCAGCCAGCCAGAAAAGGATACGAGAAATAAAATGTGGAATACTACCGTACTGCGCAGTGGAGCGCAGAAGAACCGCGCGAGCGGGTACGTGACATAAATGAAGTGTGAGCAGGACTAGAGTACGATTTATGTTACAGTTCAAGCTGATGGAACACGTGCAGTGCTACACCGTAGCCCTGTACCACGTGGAAGCAAACAGAAGTAGAGGAGACACGGGATAGTAGACATGAACTCAGGGTCAAACTTATAAGCGTGTAACGTGAATGCATGCAGTATAATTATGGAGACCAGAGAAAGACACAGAGCTCAGTGCGTACCAAGTACTACACACTTAACTCGTACACTTGAATGTCACGACACTCCCAGCGGAAAGAGAAAAACAAAACAAAGGATGAAGTAGAGAAGCATGCCTTGCCGTAGCTGCTGTTGGATCATGTTGCCGTATTGACCTTGAGTTCCGGCTCGGCTGCTAGGCGCTTAGATAGAGACCGGAAATGACCAAGTGCGACACCAAAGTTGTCTGGCAGTAGATGGGCATTGGATTGCCAGGGCCAGCTGATTTCATACCTCTGATCGTCAAACGTTACAGTGGAGTTGAATTGCTGCATGGCTAGGTCGTTGTTCGTCAGATCGGCTGAATCCTGGTTGCCAATGCAGTCTAAGTCGCACAGATCTGGAATGGTGCACGACTCGGGAGTTGCATCAGTTAAAGAAACGATAGCTGGCACGGCTGTGCTGCTTATCGGTGCAGCTGAGGGCTTGGAGTGACGTGTTCAGCCAGTCACCACAAAACCGACTGTGGTGGGCAGAAGCTGCAGTCCTGACGGAAGTCTTCTGGTGCTCCCTATCATAAACTCCCAGTGTAAATCTGTACTGATCAAGACGTCTATCTGACGGTCGACTTCTTGCAGGTTGATAGTGTCCGCCAAGTTGTCTGTACTCAGTTCTTGGAATGCCATGATATCCGCTGCTGGGATACCCTGCTGAGAGATAGTGTTGGTGATATGTGGCAACACACTGGCTTCGATTTGTTTCGATGAGCCATCCTTCAATCGCAGACCAAGACCCGCAACTCGGACCTTCCGTTGCGTCTTCCTTGCATGACCGAAGGTAGATAAAGAGAGCCACTCATAGCGTGCCGCATCTGCTGGAATTGTGTCTGCCAACTTTTCTGTCAGATAAGAGCTCTGACTGGCAGAATCGAAGAGAACTGTCGCCATGACTGTGGAGCCGTCTGCACTCCCAATCGGAACTCTCGCTGTTTGCAGGTAAACATCACCACTTGCGATAGACGACTGAAGTGCAGCAGTGGGCTGCGTTTGAGGGACTGCCGTGTCAGCAGCTATGACGACACTGGTTGATGCTGCACTAGCCGTTGTTGTGCTAGATGCTGGTGCCTCGTGAGCCACAGGTTGATCAGCTACCAGGTTGGTACTGTTGCCAGATTTCTGTTGAGATTCAGGGCAGATCGTGACATGATGGTGACCCATGCGAGAACACACATTACACTTGTGGGTGGCCTTGCACTGAGTTGACCGGTGCCCTGTGCGCAAACACACAAAGCAACGCTCCTGTTCAATCAGTTGTTCTTTCCGCTGTGCTACTGTTGCGTATTTCGTGCAGCTCTTGTCTAGGTGAGGTCCGCCGCAGAATGCACATCCTCTCATATTGCTGGCAATCCAGTCACCACCGCGAAGTGTCGTTATACCTGAAGTCTCATTATGTGTCACAGTTGGATAGGACTTTGCTCTGGGCATGAAATTTATGTCGTTATTCGCAAATTGTCGTTATATCCGCAGTGGTTATTAGCAAAGGTGTCCTATTGAAAGACCGGGCCTACTAAATGAGTCTTACGAACGTGCTCAAACTGTGGGAGAAATAGAAGACAGTGCTCAAACTGTGTAGAAGAAAATGGAAGAACGGGGGTAAAACTGTGTGGCGAAAAATAGAAGACCGGGGTCAAACTGGTTTGAAAGAAGAAAAGACCGTCCTCGAATACAAGACCGTCCTCAATTATAAGTCCGGGTTAGGACAAGAGTTTGAAAAAATGGTAGCCCAGCCTACTATTTTGGGGAACTACGGTAGTATGACTGTATAGTAGAATGGAGGAGTCATTCTATCAAACAAAAATATGCTTTCCTACACTCTTGGACATGTCCGAACCTGAGCCTTTCAAGTTCGAAATTTGTTGGCTTGCGCCTTGGAGAAGTGTTCGAGCTAGGTGTCAGGTTGCTGAATGTCTCCGTACTCCTTGTAAGTTTTGTGCCATTTTGTCGCACTCGCTGCCTGCATATGATCTGGTCACGTTGGTGGACTGTTTGTCATAACTCGTAACATGTTGTCCTCTCCTCTTGATAAGAAGAGCCTCTATTTAGCACTGAGTTCTGCTTCTTTTGGTGCGGGACGGGCATTGTTCTACTATGCAACAATTGCGCGTGTATTATGTCCGTGTTGCAAGCTTTGTACGCTGCTTGTTCAGGACTCACCTTCACTACTATACAATATTTGCCATTATGCCAGATTACGCTGGCACTTGCAGTGCACTTATTATTTCTTGTTTCTATATGCTTGAGTTGTATCTGTCGCGTATCTTTCTTGGCTCGATATGAGCTCGTTTATAGCTGTAGCCACCCTGTCCACGCCGGCAGGGGGTTGCATGGGTCCATGACCTTTACGTTTCCGGCGTTTGTACATTTCTGTTGTACCAGCGCTGCTGCTAATTTGTCGTAGGTTGCGTATATGGCCCTGCATGTGCCGTACGCGCGGCGCTTTCTTTGCTTTTGATATTGCTGTTGCTCCCTGCTTGGGGAGTTGTCGTGAGAGAAAGAGGGTCTTGTTCTTTTTACCTCAGCCGTGAGAGGTTTGCATTTTCTTTGCTTTCGCGATGAGTTATCAAAGTTAGTTGACAATAAGAAAAGATCAACGTTGTCGTGTGAGTTTTTGTCGAGAGCAAACTGGGCTCCGGGTTCGTCATCATCACCTCTGTTACCACAATTATTAAATTGGCTCCTGAACCGAGTAAAACTATTTAAAATCATAAATTATTATAAAATGGCAATAAATAAGATAAATTGTGCACTCATAACAACAGCAAAAAATGAAGAAAGTCAAGTTCCATAACGTTTTCTTGTGACTGTCATCAGTGGAACGCCGTCACATAAAAATGTGATAACTAAAACACACACTTATATACATGTAGCTAATAATTGAGCCCCGGCCAGCGAAAACCAGCACTTGTGTACTTGATATCAATCATCAAAATGTGACGTCAAAGTTTGGGACGCGCAGTGAGCTGGCTTTTGAAGATTCTTTTTCGATCGAGTGGGTGTCTTTGTTGTCAAAGGAGT